ACATAATTTTGGCTCACACATCCATAGAATGGACAACCAGGAAATAGTGTATGATCAAGTGATTAAAAGATCTATAGGTAGCCTATGGTTTCTCTATACACTGGCCAGATAAAATTTCCCTAAGTATATGTCTTTGTTGTAGTCAGCTTAAAGTCTCAGAAGAGCCAGGCTTCCCAAATGGTTAGGTCCCTCAACTGGGAACTCAGTGCCTTAGTAAACCTAGATTAAGTCCTGGTCTATACTCCCAAGAAACTAAATGCTCATGTAGAGCCAAGGAATGAGATATTAGGAGCTAGTAGGAAATTACTACTCATTTTATGGGGGTGTAAAGGCTACAACTTTCTGAGTGATAATGGCTATGTAATAAAAGGTTGGGAGTAAAGAAGACGTACAAATTAGTGTCTGTTCCTGTAAGGATAAAAAGTTTCTGAGAAGTAGTTAGAAGCCTATTTTGATGGGGTCCTTCATTATGTGGCACCCTCCATGGAATACAAGAGTACTTACTACATGATAAGGCAGATAATCATGAGGTTATTAAATCACTATTCTTGGGTGGGAATTTTAGGTAAGACCTTTGGGAATTAGAGGGAACAATGCTCTTGGAGTCAAAAGACCTTGGTTCAACTCAAGTCCAACACTTACTAGCTATGTTACCCTGGTCAAGTCACTTCCCTTCTGTGAACCTCAGTTTTCTGGTGATAAAACGGGAAAGTTACTTATACTACTTACCTCACAGAGTTTTTATGAAAAGTACTTCGTGCACCATAAAGTGCTAAATAGGGCTATGAGGAAGACACAAGGAAGCTATACAGAATAAAAGGAAGTATGTTCTAACATCCAGAAGTTTCTCAAGAACTTAAATGAAGAGTTATGTATATATTTATTGTTGGGGAGTCACTGGGGGGGTAGTATCAGGTGGGACGTCTTGAAACTGCATCTTAAGACAGTCCTAACAACCCATAAAAGGTATATCTTACATTGTTTTAAGATCATGTTTCCAGAGGATTCTGTTTCCTATGTTCCTATTCTGTTTTTTCTTATCTGCTCATCTAATTCTGATCATACTCACTCCTCAGTGCTTTTCAGTCTGTTTTCCAACTTCATCACTCAACTAAAACTTCTGTCTCCAAAGGAAAGGTAGCAATAATCTCAACTGCCAAATCTGATGGGTCTTTTCTTAGTCATTATCATTCTGGTTCTCCTAGTTGATCTCCTACCTTACTGACCGCTCTTGCTCAATCTTCTTTACTGGCTCATCATCCATATCAAGTCCCCAACTGTTGGTATACTCAAGGCTCTGTCCTAGGCCCTTCTTCTTGGTGACTTTATCAACTACTACAGATTAATTATTATCTCTAAGCAAATGACTTCCAAATCTAGCCCTAATTTCTCTCTGGGATTCCTGTCCAACTGGCTATTGGCTATTTCAAACTGGATTTCCAGTAAGCATCTGAAAAAAAAATAAACATATCCAAAATAAAACTTATTATCTTTACCTGCAAAACCTGCCCTGAACTTCCCTATTTCTATAATGGACACCACTCATACAAAGTTACTATCTTCTAGGTTTGTAACCTTGAAGTTATCCTCAACTCCTCACTTTTCCTCACTATTTCTCTCTCTCTCTCTCCATATATATGTGTATATATATATATATATGTATATAAGTTACTATCTTCCAGGTTTGTAACCTTGAAGTTATCCTCAACTCCTCATTTTTCCTCACTATTTCTCTCTCTCTCTCCATATATATATATATATATAAAAGTAAAAAATCAGTTGCCACATCTTGCCATTTCTACCTCCTCAACATCTCTCCTATACAAGCCCTTCTCACTTTTCACAGAGCCATCACCGTACTGAAGGTCTTCATTACTCACCTAGACTATTGCAATGGCCTCCTAATTAGTCTCTCCATCTCCAGTTTTCCCCTAGTCCATTCTATCCTCCACATATCTGCCAAAGTGATTTTCCTAACGAACAGATATAACCATGTCCATTCTCTACTCAAACTGCAGCGTTTCCCTGTTGCTTCCAAGATGAAATACAAATTTCTCTGTTTGGTATTTAGGGCCCTTCACAACCTGGCCCTAACCTATATATTACTGCCTTTCCTATGCCTCATTAATAATCCAGTAAGATCGGCCTTGTCTGTCACACATGGCTGTCACACATGGCTGTCCATCTCTCAGATCTGTACCTTCATGCTGTCTATCCTTGTCCTGCTCACTTCCTTTAAAAATGACCTTCTAGTCAAAGGCTAATCTGGCCTCCTTCCTACATATATCATGTCTCTCTCTGAGACAGAATGTTAAGTTTCTTGCAAGGAGGGTATTTGATATTTGCCTTTTTACCTTTAGCACAATACCTGATAGATTAGTATAAACTTAAAAACGTTCATGGACTTTACCTCCTTCTAAAATCACTACCTTAATTCCATACTAAGTCTATAATCAATTGTCCCTCAGAATTCTGTATATTATTTTTCTTCTTCACGTATATACATGAACACCTCATTCTTATTTTAACTTGTTTGTGTAATAATTCAAATACATATATAAAATTTCAAAGTTACTGAATACAAATTTTAAAACAATTTGTTCCTTAAAACTTTTAAGAACTATATTTCAAGTAAATCCAATTTGGTTTAAAGTTAACAGTTTCATTTCAAACCAAAGATTTAAGAAATTAAACCTTCCTTTGAAGTTCTTGTTAATTATTATGTCGAAGAATTTATGTGAGTAAGCTAATCATGAATTTTAGTACATTATAATTTAGCTTAATTTCATTTATTAGTGTGTATCTATAATTACAACAGGGCACATCTCCACAGTGTTTCACATAGCACAACGAAATGTGAAGTGACCTGCCAGAGTTAGTAAATATCTAAGGAAGGTCCCAAACCTAGGACTTTTTCCTATCATGTAGTCAAAGCACTATGTCATAATTTTAGTTTATAATCTGTAGTTCTATAGATCCTGATGTAGAAAGTACCTTAGACAATTTGTTGGGGAATGGCTCCTGCTTTTATACATCTGTATCAATTCTATATTTTGAATATCAGACCCTTAATGGAAAAATTTGTTGTCCAAATTTTCCACCATTTAACTGTTTCTCTTCTAATTCTATCTGCATTTATTCTGCTTCCGTGAAAGCTTTCCAACTTTTATGTAACCAAAATTTTTCAAGTTTTATTTTGTGAAAAATCTACCCCCTTATTTGGGTAAGCTTTGAAAGCTACTGTCTTCCTATTTTCAAAGACTGTACATACCCTTTGACCCAATGAAAATATCAGGCATCTATCCCAAGGAGTTCAAGGATAGAGGGAAAGGATACATACGTACAAAAATATTCATAACAGCACCTTTTGTGGTAAAAAAGAACCTGAAAAAAAATGGGTGCCTACCGACTGGGAAATGACTAAACAAAATGTGGTATATGAATTCAATGGAATATTATCATTCCATAAGAAATGACAAATATAACAGATTCAGAGAAACATAGGAAGACTGTGAACTCATTGAGAGAATGGAACAGTAATTTTTTTTTTAAATTAAAAAACCTGAAATTAACAGAACAATTTATGGGATGACAATAACAATAAAACTTTGAAAGATCTAGGAATGCTGAGCAACATAAAATAATGACTTAAAAAGACTAATGAAGAAACATACCTCCCACCTCTTGACAGAGATAATGGACTTGAGGAAATGCAATGGGGATATTGATGAAACACGCATTTTCAGCTATAGCACTACACATATATACATTTTACATATTTGTTAGAAGTGGGGGGGCACCTGTCATTGAGAAGGTTTGGTGTAGCATGTCAATGGATAGTAACACGTGCAAAAAAAAGAAGCATCAATAAAACATTTTTTAAATGCACAGAACAAAAAATTGCATATGAAGACACAAATAATAGTTTTCTTACTATCCTGTCAAATCTAATAGGCATTAATATACTTCTTTGAAAACAAACTAAATAGCAGAAGTTCAGTTTCTTATATAAGCCTTTCTGTTTTGTATATTGAAATGTTTGTTGATAATTGACTAGGTTCACAATCTAAAAGCAAATTTCTAAAGATAAAGGTTAACTGGGATCATAGAATCATAGCTAAAAAGCTGGAGGGGACCTAAGGAAGCATCTAACCCAAACCTCTCATTTTATAGAAGAGGAAATTGAGGCCAAGAGAAATTAAGTGACTTGTCCATAGTGATACAAGTGGTAAATGGCAAAGTGAGGATTTGGTCCCTCTGACTACTTGTCTTTCTACTATATTACAGAACTATACTTAAAACTGATAGAAATCACACTTCATTAACATTTTATAATTTTGGCTTTTGATTAAGGGGGGAGGGCAGGGAAGGAAATAGCGTTTAAAAGATTTATACAGTGTCTATATGTATCAGACACTATGCTAAGCACAATTATTATTTCACTTGATGTTAACACCAATCCTGCAAAACAGGTGCTATTATTATTCCCATTTTATAATTGGGGAAACTGAGGTAAACAGAGGTTATGTGACTTCCCTAGGGTCACACAACTACATAAGTGTCTAAGATTGAACTTGAAGTTAGGTGTTCCTGGTTCCAAGACCAGTGCTCTACTACGCCACGTAATTTGTAACGGTCTTCTTCCTCATTATTACTAATGAGTGGTTTTTATTATTGATAGTCTTCAAAACCACCCACTCAAGAATGTGATATATGCCTTTTATATATAAGAGATGTTTAAAATTTAGCTACAGTAGGATATTTAGAAAAATCAGTAACAAACAAGGAAAAGAAGGGGGGAAAAAGTAGTATCTATTAGGAAAATTAGTATTATTTTTTAACTTATCTGGTTTTATTGTTATTTTTTTCAGTAGCTCAATAGTTAAACTATCAGAATCTCTCCCTATTCTTTTTTTCATGAAGTATAAAAAAGTATATAACCAACCTCACTGTAATTTGAAACATAACAAAGTAAAAAACAATAGCTTTAAGTAACGTACCTTTGATTTTTTGTTCAGTGGCCTAAAATAAAAACAAAAAACAATGTAAATATGAAATAGAAAGAAATGGATTTCTCTGATAAAAATGTTTGTTATCATTGTACAAGCAATAGCTACTTTTATTGATGAAAAATGTGGATTTTATTGCATAAGAAAAGGATCTTGCTCCCACAGTTCTTATTTTTGTTACTTTGTCTATTAATACAAATAAAATCTTTAAATCATTCTTTAGAAATTCTGAAGAGAAGCTCTGCATATTTAAGATTTCAATGATAAATGTATTTCTCTTAAGATGAATTTAAATAGTTATATTTATTTGCAAAATTAAAATAATTATACTGAAAGGTATAAATATATTTTAAATATATTTTAAAGTCCTTGTTTCATAAAAGCAAAAAAAAAAAACCAAAAATCACCCTGCTTTGCTCAAAGCAGTTATGAATGTTTATCTCTTGAGGGTTAGAATGGAGATAGACTTCTGATCATCTCTGTAACTGAGGCATGGGATAGAATGGATGTTACTAAATTATTTTAATTATTAGTTTCAATTTTTTCCTCTAAGTTTTCTGAAACTATTGACTAATTAATAACCTTCACCTTCTACGCAGAATGAGTATTAATAAGAAGAAATGGAAAGAACAGGGGTTCCCAGCCTTTTTGTCATGGTGGACAATTACTCATGACAAGCCATGTTACTAATATGGGTGGGGGAGGGAGAGAGAACTGGGATTGGTGGGGGAAGGGTGATGCTGATGGGAAAGTGAAGAAAAACAACAAATGAGCATGAAATCCTGGCAGCTAGTATCTGGGCCACCTCCTTGAAGTTTCTTGGCATTTCATGAGCCTATAGGCCAAATGGGATGATGGTGGGGTACATGTTGCCATTAAGGACAACAGGAAAGATCAGCAAGGAGCATAAGTAATTCACAATCTGAATTAATTATTACTTGAATAGTCAGCAGAACTATTAAAAAAATGCAGAAGCTTACACTTTTACTCAGTTAAAATAACTTTGGGGAAAATGAGATGTACTGGTTTAAATATTCGAGTTAATGGTTACTATATATAGAATACATTGTCAAAAGTACCATAACAAACTACACTGCACATTATTTAATATTCCTTCAAGGATTCAGAAGGTACTTTAATACACTATAGCACTTTAGCAACATTATGAATATGAATTAACATGAAAATATATACCAGACAAATGAGCTTTTACTGTAACATGTTTAGAGATAAATATTATCTCAAGCAAAACTATGACTGGAGTTAAGACTAGTGACAATAGGAGATAAAATACAAAAAAGTGTTATTAAAGAACTAATTGTCAGATAGTCTTTTAAAGTGTTTTTAAAGAAATCACAGGAGTATTACTGCCAGACAGTAACAAAGAGAAATTTTCCTTCTGAAGCCACACAATAAGTACTACCTGGAAATACAAAGTGTAAATCAAAATTGTTCTAAGTCAACTTAACCAAAAATCACTCACTAGAATAATCTTATATTTCTGTGTAGGAAACCAAATTATTTCTATAACTTAACTATACTAAGACACAAAGAAGTTAATTTGCAATTTATATAATCAAATAAGAAATATAGCACTGTTTCAGATCGGTGGCCCATATGGCTTGGTATTATATATGAGTGTAGCATCAAGATACATTATACAGGAGAGCTGTGGCAGCTGCTCCTCTATGCTGATCTAAGAAAGAAAGGGATATGTGTATCTTAAATACAGGACTTCCATTTAAAAACATGAAACTTGATAAAGAAGTATGCTCAAAAAATGAAAATCAAAAAGCATAGTCTAAGTTATCCAGGTTCATTGTCTCTTCAGAGTTAAATACTGACTATTTCACTATTAATACTATCATAAGAAACTAGAAAGAGAAGAAACTCATGAGTATAGCTTGCTATTTTGTAATATTTGTAATTTTCATTAACTTTCCTCATTTTATTTTACTACATCTTTATAATGCACATGGTATTTAAGGTAATGAGACAGTATTTTTCTTAAAATGTTCTATAGGTATCCCTTATTTTAGAGAACAGATGTATTCATAGGATCATAGAATTTAGATCTAGAAGGGACTTCAGATGTATTCTACATTTTACAGATGAGGAAATTGAGGCTGCCACTTCCCAAGGAGTTCACAAATAGCAGAGCAGAAATTCAAATTTAGATGCCCTGTTTCCAGACCCAGGGTTCTTTCCATTACACCATTATGCTTCTCCTTTAAAAATCAGATGTCCCTCTCCCCCCCCAAAAAAACCCAAAACTGCAGCAGACAAGTGAAAACATATTTATGAATAAGCAGTTAAAATGTCAGACAGAACCAGAGCATGCTGGGTGCTTTATTAACTAAGAGTGCTGCCTGACTCCAGGATAATACAGTTCCCTATCTGCCCAAAGGAATTCCTCCCATGTCTAGAGACCTCTCAATTCCATAGTCAGAGCTCTCAGACCTTCACTTCATTTCTTTTTGGCTGCTCATTTATAATACAAAATAGATCAGGGTACAAAATCACATTTCATCACATACTGCTATTAGCAGAATTAAAAACCATTAGATTCCACCCCACAGCTGCGAATGCCATCTCCTTTCAGATTGTCTTCCAATCTCATTCTCAGTCTCTCTCTCATACATAGACATAATGCACACATATTTGTAAATAAATTTTTATGTATCTACTTATTTACAAGTTTTCTCCCTTCCTTGAGGATAGGAACTTTATCTGCTTTTTTTTGTATCCTTAGCTTAGCACGGTGCCTAGCATACAGTAAGTACTTAATATATGCTTGCTGACGAGAGTTTTAAGGGACCTTAATAACTGTCTATTCCAGCCCTCATATTTTAAAGATAAGAAAATGGATGTCCAGAGATATTAAACAATTTGTTCAAAGTCAAACAGCCTAGTAAAATGAGAAGCTGGAATGAACAACTATGTCCCTTGACGTCTAGTCCAGAACTCTATTATATCATGATGAATTTCAGCCTAAAAATTTCTTTAAAATCAAGGCCTCAAGCTTTAAAAGAAATTGTACTTTATCAGTGTTTTAAGTTTAAAGGTCTCTGAAGCACATTTACTTAAAACAAAGGATTTCTTTTTCTACTCTGTCATTCAACTTGTCCTCTATTTCATATTAGTCATCATAAGATACAGGCCACATTTTCTAATGAGCTATAAAAATTGTTTGGATTTAATATTTTGTGTTTATTATATGGCAGCTATCTCTAAAAGGGGAAAAGGATAAAAATAAAAGGATCTGTGTACAACAGTATATGAGCTCTTAAAATTAATTCAGTTATTAAAGTTAGCATCGACATAATATACTGGGATCAGAATGTCATAAAATTCAGCATGTGTTGATAAGCATCTTCATATTATACTCTAGGCTGGAATAAAAAGAAAATTTTTTTGCAAACTCCAATGCGTTTAGTTTCTGGAAACCTCTTAAATACTGGCAGTGATTTTTCTAATTATCTCTACTTACTACATACCTTACCACACCCAGAGGCAAGAACCCAACTAAGACACTCAATTTAACAGCAGAGGCTTAATCACCTAAGCAGAAATCTGTAGATTGTCAAAAAAAAAAAAAATGTCCATACTTCTAGACAGACTTAAAAAAAAAAAAGGCTTTTTTTTGGAAAAAACATAAAGCCAAGTGTTAATATTCTTCTAATGGGTATCTTACTCATAAGTAAGTTTCCATATGCTATCCCAGAGTCTGTAGTCTAGCCGCATTACAGAATCTAGATCAAAAGTACTTTACAAATTAATATTAATATTTATTCAAAACAGGCAAGGTATTCTACCTAGCAGAGTAGATAATAAGACACAGATCATTTAAATTCACACTTAAAAGATTTCTTAGGCCATTTTGGCTCCTAATATTAGTGAAAGATAAAGATAACAAATTCCATAACTTTTCAAACTCTCAAACTGGCCAAAATGAATTGAAAAAGGAACCAAAGCTTCTATATTAGATATACTTTCGGTCTAGTAAAACAACAATTAATTCTAGAAGTACTAGCTCAAATAACAATACCTGAAGGTAACTAAAACAACAGGCATGACATATATAAACAAATATATCATACAGTATTTTACATTAAATGTTAAATCTTATAACACAACTTTGTTTTAAGCTCAGCATTAAAAATGGGCAAAACGTGATAGGATCTTTACAGTATACAGATTCACTGAGTAGAAAGCTAATATTTTGTTGAAAAAAGTTTTTTTTCCCCAACTGGCTGACCTATAAAATTCCAAGACCTAAAAAGGTTGAAGTTAGATTTTCTCATTGATACAGCACTGCTTTATCTATCTTTCCAAACTTTAAATGAGAAATTTATCTAGCTCAAGGGCTGGACATTTAAAATGATAGAATTGCTTCCTCCCTCTGGAGAAAAACAAGTCTAATTCCTCTTCCAGAAGAACGTCTCTTGATCATAACTATCATGACTCTGACCTATCCTCTTCACCAGGCTAAACATCCCCAGATCCTTCCACTTACCATTCTTCATCATGGCCCTTCACCATTCTGGTTGGCCTGCTCTGGAAGTTCTCCAGCTTATCATTGCTCTTCTCAAACTGTGGAGCCCAGAACTGACTGCAAAACTTCAGACAAATTCAGAGAGATTATCACCTCCTTTTTTCTTGGAAGGCATGCCTCTCTGAATGCTGTCCAAGATCTAATTAGCTTTTTTGGCTGCAATGTCTTACGGGCTGGTTCATACTGGACTTGTAGTCCACTAACCCCCCCCTCCCCCAGATCTTTCTCAAATTGCTATCCAGCCATATGGCTCCCATGAAAAGTTGATTTTTTAAAACCTAAATGTAACTATTCTCCCACTGGGGTTCAACTTAGATTTAGCAAAATGTTCCAGTTTGTTAAGATCTTTTTGGATCCTATCACTGTAAGCTATCACTCCCAGCATGGTATCATCTGAAAATATGATGAGCATGCCATTTATACTTTTATGTACATTATGATACTTTATTAAAAGCTTTTTAAGAATCTAGGTAAACTATATTTACAACATTCTTTTCATCTACTGGGTTAGAAACTCTTATCAAAAAAGGAAATAAGGTTAGTATGACATGAGCTGTTCTTGATGAAACCATGCCGGTTGCCTGTAATCACTTGCCCTTATTCTAGAATTTTCCAAGGAACTGAAGTCAAGTTCATTAGCCTAGTGTGTAGATTTTAATTTTCTTTCCCTTTTTGAAAACTGAACCAAGATTTGTCCTTTTCTGGTTGTGTGGAACCTCTCCCTTTCCATGGTCTTTCAAATACTGACAGTGGCTCAGACCCTGCCAGTTTTTTCCTTATTCAACGATGTACTTCATCTGGACAAAGTGACTTGAATTAATCAAAGATAACTAGGTTATCATGGGTATTAAGACCCTGCTAGTCATTTTTGTTTTTGTCATTTCCAATGCAAGGATCATTCTCCTTGGCAAATAAAAGAGAAGAAATGTAAGAAGTGAGCACCTCTGCCTCTTCTCTGAATTCCCCTTCCCTTCACCCAACTACCCAAAGAGGTCTATTCCTTTGATCTTTTTTCCCCATCCCTAATATAGAGATATGGATAGTGTCTGGATCTGTGATTTCATTAGTGTAAAGAACTCCCATTTGGAGAAACTTCAATGCAACTTTGTAAACAAAACAACAACAACAAAATCCCCCTTTCTTCCCCATAGTTTCCTTGCCACTATCAGTTAGTTCTGAGCTGACATCTCAAACCCTTCTGACACCATTTACAGAACCATATTCTTATATTCATCTTCCACTACCTGGCTATACTTCTATTTTATGCGTTAAAAAATAAAAATCTAACCTGCTTGATGAGTTACCTACAGACAGTCTCTTTGGACAAACCCCACTCTTCCTCCTCACTGGACCTATTTCTATCCTTCTCTTCAGAATGTTATTCATAAGATCTCCTATTCCTTCTATAGACTTTTAGTTCATGAAATCTTAAACTATCTGTCCTCTGAAACCTTTGGAATTTGGATCCCCTAAATGTAGGATGCATATCAGACTATGGAAGGAAATCTAAGGATTTCCTCTCCTCTATTACAAATAGAAGGACAGAGAGATCACTTCCCTCCCGGTTCACACTATTTTTACTGTAGTAACTAGTTTCTGTGAATAGAATTTCTCTTTGTAGTTCCTCAACTTTTTGAAGGATGAAATTATCATCAAGGCAAGTCAAGAAGGTGAGCTACTCTTCTTTGGGCATAATGAGAACTCCAACAAATATCTGGACAATTGAAGTCTCTCATGACTACAGCACGCTTCTCTGTGACAGGCCTGTAATATATTTTCTAATTTTTCATCTATTGTCTTTTTGTCCTGGTGGTCTGTAGTTGAACCCAATGATACATCTCTTTCTGCCTTCATTGATCTCCATTCAAATGTCTTCATAGGTTTCATCCCTCTAGTTCCTAGATTTTCTTACCTGAGCATACCTTTTAAATATATAGTTCTATCTCATCCCAATCCCTTTGACTTTTAAATAGTTTTGTTTTATTTTTTGGGATAAGGCATATCTATACAGAGCCATATCCAGTCATGGTTTCACATAATTATCAATAAGACTTATGGGGCAGCTAGGTGGTGCAGTGGATAGAGCACCAGCCCTGGATGCAGGAGGACCTGAGTTCAAATCCAGCCTCAGACACATAACATTCACTAGCTGTGTAACTCTGGGCAAGTCACTTAACCCAAATTGCCACACACACACACACACACACACACACACACACACACACACACGACTTATGAAGTCAAATTTACTTCTTTGTATTAGGATCTCTAATTTCTCTTGCTTTACTGCCTAAATTTTGGGTATTTATGCCCTTTTTTTTGGTATTGTGTCTCATGTGACCTTCAGGTATCTCAACTGCTATTTTTACTGTAGCTACTTATGGTATCTGGCTTGGTGGATATACATATGCTATTTTCTTCAAGGATTCTAGTCCCAGACTCTATTCTTTATGGGTTAAACCTTTCAGATTACATTTGTAAGACACCAGGAAAATGCATTAGTTCATGAATAGCCAGGTATCTCATCCCTATATTTTCAGCTGCAATATCAACAAATCCCATTCTATACATAGTTCCTAGCCAGATGTTCACTTTCCAAATTTGTTTTTTTTCTTCTGCATCCCTTGCCAATAATGATTATGGTAATAATGAAGAGAAATAATTTATGTTCCTACAGTATTTAGTTTCTTGCCCAAAAATCTCTGGCAAAACTTGGTAGGTTCCTTCTGACTATCAATTATGCCCATATGAATTACACAAGTGGATGAACTCATCTGTTTGGATTATGATCATTTGTCTAGTATCGTGTAAAAGGTATTCTTTTGGGGGGATGGGTTAGACTACATAACAACTGAGTTCCCTTTCAACCTTGAAATGACTATTGTAACAGCTTCCTAATTGGTTATCTTCACTTCATGTTTTCTTAATTAATTAAGCAAGATGGTACAGTGGAGAGAGCATCCCTTTGCAGATACAATGCAACAAAAGCTTTTGGAAAAGACTTTAGGTGAAGCAATTTTCATTTCTTAAATTATATGTTTATATTTAAATACACATTACCTTCTTTTGAGCAGCTTCCTTCTTTTTCTTGTCGTCCTTTCTCTTTTTCCTTTCTTCCATCAACTGTTCTTCCTCTTCTTTCACTAAATCCCTGAACCACACAGGTTGCAATTAACTTTCCCAAAACACATTAGGGAACACATACATGTTGCATACAGCTTATTTTTACTCCTCTTATGAGGAATAACAACATGACAAATGGGGCCATTATACTTCTTGTGACTTTATTTCAACAACGCAAAAAAAAATTGTCACCTAAGCTTAAAGCTATGACACATAATAAATAAATGGTAGTTTCCAGTTTTCACTTGGGGCAAGGGGGACAGTACAGACCTGTGATTTCATCAGTGTAGGGAATTCTGAAAGAGGAAATCCCCTTCCCCATTTATGCAGCTTTGTAACACATCTATAACTGAGAAACTAAGAGCTGACTAAGGCACTTAGAAATTAAGTGAATTAAGTATTACCACATAGTTACTGTGTTAAAAGTATTTCTTCCTAGGATATATATATATATATGTATATGAGGGATTGTAACCACACATACTTCATACTATATAATAATCTCGACCATTTTATCAGCATACACTTATTGATACGTTTAAAATAAACTTATTTCAACTTCTTGTGATGGACATTTTTGATCACTCCTACAATTAATTCCACTATTTTACTCTGGCAGCACCAATCTATGTCAATTAAAAACAAACCAAAAAACCCTTCCCCATTATCTGAAAAAGGAAGTAAAGACTTCCTTGCCTCCTGAGTTCCCATGAATAATCTCCATGTGCTAAAAGAAATAAATAAAACTGATATAATATCATAGTATAGTGGTTAATTTTTGTGACCATACTTCAGTATAACTAGGAAGACATGTTAACAGGCAGGTCCTATGAAAATGCATTGTCAAAACCTAGACAAAAGGCAAACCTTCTTTACTCTACTCTTTTCTCCCTACATACAAATACAGGTCTAATTTATGCCACAATATGCTACCTCTGAGTTTCCATGATGCTAAAAGTCTTCAATATAGCTATTCCTTTTTTAAAAATCTATTTCAAATTTACTGACTTCTAAAATCTAACTTCAATTCTTCCTCATAGTTTATGCCTGGTGATCTCTCAGTAGTAAACTTCTAGCACATTCTCCCCACTCTTTACCCTAGACATTTCCCTCTAATTCTGAACCTGAGCAATTTCCTTATTTAATATACATTTTTTCATACTTATTATTATTCTGAATTGTGCTAGGGTGGGTGGGAGGGAAAGGATGCGGAGACAAATGAGACATGCTCTTTGCTGTCAGGAAGATGCGTTTATATAATTTGAAATCTTTGTTCCCATATTCAATTGCTCTTTTTCAATAGCAAGTCATTCATTTCTGATTCTTAAAAAAAAGCTTATAGAATGTAGAATGATTAAAATCAAATCAACCAGATATAAGGAGGTTGCAGTAACTGAGTGTGAAGGGACGAGGACACTAGAATAAGACAGTGGCAGTGAAACTAATATTGAAGGGAAAACCCAAGAGAAATTTTGCCTCTAGGTATGTATCACACTATGACAGCACAGTACAATAACTGATGCTCACTCTGACCCTTAAGTTATCAAGGAAAGATTAAGGTATATTTTTTCAGTATCCTACATGTGAAAAGGCAGAAAAGTATGCATACATTTTTAGCAAAGTTTCCATTTAAAGCAGGCCTGTTTTACATCCTCTACATTTTTCACAGGCCGCCCAAAATCCTTTTGTGGGCTGAATGTTGTGCAGGCCTGATTTAAAGCAATTAAATTGACTTAGGAGCTCTGGATTTGAGGTATATTGATCTTGGGAATTCTCATTTTGGGGTTTCTTTCAGGAGGTAATCTGTGGATTATGTCCATCTCCATTTTGCCTTCTGTTTCTAGGCAATTTTCTTTTCAGATTTCTTGAAATACAATTCAAGACTTTTTTTTTTGGTTATAATTTTCAGGTAGTCTTTAATTGTTCTTAAATTCTTTAATTATTTTCTCCAAGATCTGTTTTCCAGATCAGTTTGCTTTTGCTTACATTTTCTTCTTTTTTTTCAGTCTGTTTACTTTGTTTTAATATTTGTCTCATGAAGTCACTAGTGTCTATTTGGCCCGTTATAATTTAGATGGAGTTTGATGTTTGGGCAAGTTTTTGTATTTGTGCCAAGTTGTTATTTTCTTTCCAATTCTTTCTTTCATAGCTCTCATTTCTCTACTGCAATGGTGTCAAAATAGAAATGGAATCCACTGAACTGTACATACTAACATTTAGAAAATATTAATGTTACATAAGTTCTATTATATTTTTATCTATTTTGTTAAATATTTCTCAATTACTTTTTAATATGATTCAGGCTACATTTGGGAATGCTTCAGATTCCAACATGGCTCACAGGTCATATGTTCGACACCTTTGTTCTAGTGTTCTAATTTCATTTACAAAAAATATTTTAAAGTCTTCAAAAAACAAACTTACTTCAGCTCTTCTAGGAATTCTAGTTGAATCTGTGCCTAAGCTATGTTTTCCCTTGAGGCTTTGCTTGTAGATATTTTGGTGATATTTGCTTCTTTTGAGTTTGTCTTGAGCATCCCTGTCATCCCTGCTTTATAATAGTAGAATTTTTTTGTGGTGTTGTTGTTTGCTTATTCTTCCAGCCTACCCCTTACTTTGGCCTTGATGTCACTTATGGAAGGAAGGTCTGGGTTGGTCCTGTTGCTGTTTTCTTAGGGTGTTATACTATTCCAAGGTCCCAAGGACAACTCAGGCTGGGGACCCTCAAGCTTTCAGTATTACCAATTAGTATTATTACTAATTTAGGGCAAAGTCTGAACACTGCCCACCTGGTCCAAGTCCAGCAAGTTCCTCACTTGGGTTTGGCTTTGAGCAACAGTAGAATGCTGCAGGACTCACACACTATCGGCTTGCCCTAGTTCTGTCTCTGCAACCTTCAGATTGGGATTTTGTTGTTGTTGTTTCAACTCCTCGGGACCCCATTTTGGGGTTTTATTGGCAAAGACACTGCAGTGGTTTGCCATTTCCTTTTCCAGCTCATTTAACAGATGAGATACTGAGGTAAACAGTGTTTAGTGACTTGCCCAGGGTCACACAGCTAGTAAGTGTCTGAGGCCACATTTGAATTCAGGTCTTCTTGACTCCAGGCTCAGTGCTCTATCCACTGAGCCACTTAGCTGCCTCCGAAAATTGTTCACCACCCCAGATGGGACTTGGACCTACAATCCCTGGCTCAGGAGGCCAATAAGGGTCTGGGACCAGATTTGGACTCAGGCAGATGAGTCTTCTTGACTCCAGGCCTGGTACTCTATGTACCACCTCACTGGAGAGAAGCCAGAATTGAGACTTTGATCTGTTCCTGGTGAACAAGTCACACTATTAGAGCTTTCTTCTGAACTTGCTTCTTGTTCTGTGCACAGGACAGATCCTATTACAAAATCCCTGGGTGCAAGTCCCCTTTCTCAGTCTGTGCCAGATCTGTGACCTTGAATTGGGTAATAAGCAACACATCTACCAGGTGGCACCTACTCCAACTCCTCGTGAAAGGTGCCAGTGCCCCTTACAGTTCTGAGACTTCTTCTTGGTCTGGTGGACATGCTCTCTGCACATGGCATGCTACTGCTGAGACCCTGTTCCCCGTATCCAAAGACCTTTCTGTCTCCCTATGTCAAACTGGCCTGGAAAAATGACTCATGGTTTATATCTTGTTTCTCATCAGGACTCCATCTGGTACATTTTTGAGACTTGCTTGAGGGGAGAGGAGGAAGCCTGGCTATACTTCTCCCTGCAATCCTCCATATTGTCTCCACCTCAATTAATGGATTAGAACCCTCTGCTCTTGCTTGCCTCTTCGAAGCTATCTCCTCCTGGCTATTTTTGAGGGGCCCCTTTTCCTACTGCTGGTGGACTTCTGATGACTTTCTGCAGAGTTCTAGGGTGGAAGAAGTAATTTCAGCACTTAGGGTTTAGGGTTAGTTTCTCACTGGATTTGTTGATCATCATCCAATCCACTGCAAATTTCAGTGTTATGTTGGAGCAGGTACGTGGGAACTGCATGTTTTACCAGATTTCTGTTGCCCTCACTAGTCAATAATCCTTTTATCTATCCCTCATTGATCAACTAGGGAATATGCCACGATGGTTGTTTGAGATGTTACTGAATATTCATTCCCGTGCTTTTTCCACTCTGGACAAGTATCAACCATCGTATGAAAAGATGCTCCAAATTACTAATAACTAGAGAAATGCAAATTAAAGCAAATCTGAGGTTCTACCTCATATTCATTAGATTGGCAAAGGTGACCAACAGAATATCAACTTGTAAACCATATATACTGTACCTACTTATTTCATAAAAGTGTTATGAGAATTATCTCTATGCACATCAAAGACAAGGATTATTCTAAAGGGGACCAGATCTTTATTATTCCTACAGTGTTTACTGTTTGATTATAAAAATGCATTTGATTTGGTTGAACAAAACACCATTTTAAAAGCCCCCCCCCTTTTTTAACCACATCCAAATATATCATCCATCCAAACATTAAAATCATTCAAGCTTCCTTGAAAGGTACTGTTCAATGACCTTATTCTGACCCTCTGATCATAAACATCAGAGGCAAAAAATAAGGAGATGTATGCTTGCCAAACACATTCACCACTGTGAACATGATGTAGGATCATGGTCTAGAAGGATCTCAGAGGCAATTTTGATTAACCCCCTCTTTTTACAGATAAGGAAACTAAGGCCAGGAATATGAAATGATTTGCTTAGTAGGTAGTAAGTTCAAAGATAGATTTAAACTCTAGAGTTTTGTTCTTGTTACACAACACCTCTAGACAGAACCAGGGGAACCAAATACAATGATTTTGTACTAGAAGAGATGTTCCTGTGTTTGCAAATGATATTGTCCTGTTTACATCAAGTTCAAAAAACAACAAAGAGCTTCTTCAACTCTTTGAGGATTTGGAATGATAATCTACCGAGAAAGACAAAGTGTATCAAGAACGGATATTTTCTAGATCACAATATATAACTGGATAAAATCCAACAGCATTTATCACTCAGTAGTTATATATGCAGATAGAATACAAACAGACTACAAGATGAGCCCTGAATTAAACAGAAGAGCAGGCTGAACTGCCTTTAGGAAATTACAAAGTTCTTTTAAAGACCCCAAATTTCTTCAGAAACAAAGGCCTACCCTTTTTTAATACTAAGATTCTACCACTCTTGTGGTATAGCTGTGAGACATGAACAAATTGAAAAACTGAAAATGAACATCACATAAACAACAATAAAGAAGGGAATGGTGAGTATGAGTAGACCGTAACAAACAACAAATAAGGAACTTAGGGAAGTGTCATAGTAAGAAAGGAAGATAGGCTGGCCATTTGGCAAGTGGTAATAGGGTAAGGACTCAGAGTGTTCTATTGGTACCCTCACAATGTTAGGATAAAGTGTAGAATAAAAGAAGGCCTAGAGCATGTGGATTCTCCATGGCAAACATGGACAAAAGTCACATAAGATGGGCAGGCAATGCTGGACTATAGTCTGTATCATTGGAGGGAATATCCAAAATCAATGAAATCATATATCTACTTCAGTATTTGACACAATCCTCCCCTTGTCCCCTTGATCCCATCTTCCTGAATCCTTTGGAACTCTGCTCCCCCAATGCTCTCCCTTGCCAGTGGTTCTCTGCCTTTCTTATTTCAAACATATATGTCTCCCTCACCCTGAAAAAAATCCTTCCCTTTACCTACTGATCCTTCGAGCTACCAATCTTTCATCTTTCCTTCTACTGATAAGACTTTTTGAAAGAGTCTATGCCTGCTATCTTCATTTTAAATTCTCCACAACCACTCCCCCCCATATATTACCTTTTTTTGGCTTTAAAAATTCCATTTATTTTTACAGTTCTAAATCCTACTCCCAAATTGAGAAGTCAAGAAAAACAAAGCCCATTACAAATAAGTATAGTCATGTAAAATTTTATGTCATCAAAATGGTCTATTTCACCATTTGTGACTTATCTCTTATTTGGTCAGGAACTCTTTCCCCAAGCCATAGATCTGACAGGTAATTTCTTCCATGCTCTACTAATTTCCTTTACGTATAAATCACGTACCTATTTGGAGTTTATCCTAATATACAGTTGGAGATATTGATCTACACCTAGTTTCTACAAAACTGTTTGCCAGTTTTCCCAACAGTTTTTGTTAAATTGCTGGGATTTGGGGATTTAGCAAACACTATGTTATTGTGCTCATTTGCTTCTGTATATTGTGCAGTCAATCAACGTTTCTATTTTTTACCCAGTACCAAACTGTTTTGATGATTATGGCTTTGCAGTACAGTTTGACTGCTAGGTCCTTTTTCTTCTCATTTTTTTTCTTTTCACTGATTCCACTGATATTCTGGACCTTTTGTTCCTCCAGATGAATTGTTATTATATTTTCTAGCTCTATAAAGTAGTCTTTTGGTAATTTGATATTGAATAAATGAATTCAGGTAGCATTGTCATTTATATTGGCTTGGCCTAATCAGGAGCAATTAATATTTCTCTAACTATTTAGAATTCTTTGTGTGGAGTGTTTTGTAATTGTGTTCATAAAATTCCTGTTTGTGTCTTGGCAGGTAAACTCGCACATATTTTATATTGTTTATAGTTACTGTAAATGGAATTTTTTTATCTCTTCCTGTTGGATTTTATTGGTAACATACAGAAATGCTAATGATTTGTATGGGTTTATTTTTATGTCTGCAACTTCATCAAAGTGGTTAATTGTTTTGATTAGTTTTTTATATACTCTCTAGGGTTCTCAAAGTAAAAAAACACATCCATCATCTTCAAAAAGTGAGTTTTGTTTGTCCTTTGCCTATGCTTATTCATTTATTGTTATTGCTAGAATTTCTAGTACAATATTGAATAGTAATGGTAATAATGAAAATCCTGGTTTCACTCCTGATCTCACTGAAAAGGCTACTTACTAGCTTGTCCCTATTATAGCCAATGCTAGCTACTGATTTTAGCCAGATACTACCTATCATTTTAAGGAAAACTCCATTTATTCCTATGCTTTCTAGTGTATGGTTTTTGAAAAATAGGAATGGGTATTGTATTATCAAAAGTTTTTTTTCTGCATCTGTTGAAATAATCATGACTTTTGTTGTTCTTGTTATTAATATAGTCACTTAAGTTTATATGAAACCAGCCCTGTATTGCTAGTACAAGACCAGCCTGGTTATAGTATATGTTATTTGCGATATGTTGCTACAATTTCCTTGTTAGTATTTTATTTAAAAATTTGGCCTCGACATTAATGACAGAAATTGGTCTATAGTTTTGTTTCTGTTTTGACTTTCATTGGTTTTAGATAAGAACACCATATTTGTATCACAGAAGGAATTTGGTAGTGTCCCTTCTTTACCTAATTTTACCAAACAGTTTATGTCATAATGGAATTAATTGTTCTTTAACAATTCTGTAGAATTTGCTTGCAAATTCATCTGATCTTGTAATTTTTTTCTTTTGTGAGTTCATTTATGATTTGTTCAATTTCTTTTTTCTAAGATAAGGTTATTTAATTATTTTATTGCTTGTTCTGTTAATCTGGGCAATTTATATTTTTATAAATATCCATCCATTTCATTTGGATTGTCAGTTTTATTGACATATAGTTGAGCAAAATAGCTCCTGATAATTGCTTTCATTTATTCTTCACTAATTATGAATTTGCCTTTTTCACTTTTGATATTGGTAATTTGGTTTTCTTACTTCTTTTTTTTCAAACAAATTAGCTACTTAAACTCTAGCGGTTCCTATTGCCATCAGAATACAAAATCCTGTTTGACGTTTAAAGCCCTTCATAACTTAGGCCCTTCAACCTTTCCAGTCTTCTTACATCTTACTCCTTAACAAATATTCTTTGATCCAGTGACACTGGCTTCTTGGTAGCTCAGAAAAAAAAGAAAAAGGTAGTTTTTCTCTTGGCTCAGGGTATTTTCTTTGGCTATCTGCTGTGCATGAAGTACCCTCCCTCCTTATCTCTGCTTACTGGCTTCAAGTCCAAACTAAAATCCCATCTTCTATAGGAAGCCTTTCCTAACTCCTCTTAATTCTAGTACCTAATTTCTTTTAATTATTTCTTATTTTTCCTGTATACAGACTGTTTATGCACGTATTTGTTTGTTAACTCACTCATTAGATTGTGAGTTCCATGAGGGCAGGGACTGACTTTTGCTTCTTTTTTCATCCCCAGGATTAGTACAGTGCCTGTCACATAGTTGACACTTAAACATTTATTGAGTGACTAATGGCTTATCTGTTTTATCGTGGTTTTTTTTTTTAAAACAAGCTCCTAGTTTTAATTATTAGTTCAATGCTTAACTTTTAATTCTGTTAATTTCTCCTTTAATTTTCAGGATTTCTATTTTGGTATTTAATTGTGGGTTTTAATTTGTTGGTTTTCTAGGGTTTTTTTAGTTGCATGCCCTATTTAATTTGTTCTCTCTTTTATTGATTAGAAATGTAATTTTATTACTTAGAATTATAAATTTTCCCCCAAGTACTGCTTTGATACATCCCACACCACCTCCCCCAACCTAAGTGGCCCCAACTTCCCTGAGGTGTGTGTGTGTGGGGGGGTTGTATAAAAGGTCCCAGCTGTGTATAACCTAGGCCTCTCAGACTTCAGTGGCTGCCTGAGATGATGAGAGTCGACATACCCTGAAGACTTACTGATCTGACACACTTCAAGATGGAGACAGAGACAAGGTAGGCTACATCCAGAGAAGCTAAGTGCCCCTGTGTCTTCATTGCATAACATTGCTGGGTAAAGGCAAAGTAAATCTTCTTTATTAAATACTCAGTGACTTGTACTTTGTCCCAACAAAGAACCTGAACTAATAGAGTGCTGGCTTTGGAGACATGCCTACCACTCTCAGCAGTCTTAAAAGGGTAGGATGAAGCTTCATGTCTCACATCATGGTTAAGCTGGGGAAAGAGCACTGCAAGTACTGAGGAGGAGGGTCACTGGATCAGATGGTGGATCGATGTATGGCTCTTTGTCACCAGAGCCCTCTTGATTGTATATGGGGAATCTTCTCTCTGGTCCAGGTAGGAGCTCCCCTTCTGCCAGATGGATTCACTTGGTGGGTGCTGGAGCAGGCTGCCAGGAGGATAAAGATGCACAAAGGCCAGCATTCCTTGGATGTTGTTGATTGTGCTGCATCAATTGGACTGCCAGCACAATCAGACTGAAACTGAATTGTAGTGGTCCATTCAGTGGATAGAGATACTCTGGGAGTTTAGAAATTGTGCAACGAAAGAGGGACAGTGAATGGAGGTGGTGATTGTGTAAGTGAAGAGATCTCTCCTGATGGGGGAGGGGACTGAGGGGCCCCAGTCAGGAACCCACTCTGTAATTTCTGACCCAGGGGTTCAGGTTCCTGCTGAGACAGAAGCCATGAGACTGGAGAAGGACAGCAGACTGGAGAACCACTGGTGGATAGACAGCCCCTGGTTTATTCCATCACAGCTCCCAGGAGGAGGAAAGTGGAAATTCAAACAGAAACCTGAAAAGTAACTGGAGCAATGGTTCTTGAAGGTGTGAGCTAATGGAGCCAGCGCTAAAAGATTCTCTGCTTCTGGACCTGCTAAGGTTCTCCTTTTATAAAGCCAACTAAGTTTGTTGGAGCCTCCAGAAAGAATATGATCTTTGTCCCTTTTTAGATGGCTAAGATGCGAAGTTTTTCACAATTGACCTTGGAAAGATGAATTCCCTTTGCAGCCAGCTTGAAGACTACAAGATTCTCTCCAAGAGGCTGGGAGAGTGTATGATGTTCCTAAAGGAAATGGATTTGATAGACTGGATTTATTCAGTCCCTCCATTCCCACCTCAAGGTCTGCTACACCCTATTCTCAGAAGAGTCTTAGAGGCAATCAGATCTCCCCTTTTGGGTGGAGACCCACCCAAATGTCTTCAGACTTTAGCTATGTGTCTCTTCCACTTCATAACCATATTAAAATGGGCTGATCATTTGGTGATATTTGAGCAGGAGGCTGGGATAGTTGTGGCTTGGGCAAACATTGTTGTCACTGCAAATAGATATCCTACAAATGGGGGGAGCCTGCTGATGCCACCTTGCTGTGTGGACAGACTGTCCCCAGGAGGGAGTTTTGAGTGTAGCTCCTGAAACATAAGGTTAATGAGAAAATAATTATTGGCCAACCAAGCCTGAAGTATGCTCCAAAGCCCCTGCTCCATTAGGATCATTCATAGGAGGCTCCATGGAAGGATGGGGTGTTATGGGCTCAATATTTACGCGGGTCCTTTCAGCAACCTCTAGGCATTTTACTGTGGGTAGAGTCCAACAGAAACCCTTACGGTTACTTGAACCATTCCGTGTAATTAACAGTATATACCATATTGGGTCTTCAAAGATGTGATTAAAGATATTTCTTGTCTTGTGATGGAGATGAAGGAAGCTAGAGTATTTTATTACTAGATCTCATGTTACCTGTAAGGCACATGGTATGTACACCTGGCAACGTACAGTGGATTACAGGGACTAGAGCAGTTATCATGCCTATCTCTACAGCAGTTCCTGATCTCATCAAAGTTGGCAGGTAGCCCAGGGTCAAAGTAAGTGGTATGGGGCTATTAAGCTTGCCAACCCCTCTCTCCCAATTACTTTGACTGAGACTAGTTAGGAATCATTTGCTTTCACATGGGAAAGAGTCCAATATACCTTCACTGTCTTTTTCCAGGGCTACCTAAACTGTTCTACCTAATGAAAGATATCTCCCTTCCTGAGGGTAACAATGTAAGCAAATGGTATCAAGCCCAAATATAAATAGGGGTCACTAAACTGTACATAAGGACCCATGCAGTCCACATATTTGATTTAGAAAACTATACAGTAATACTGTCTGTATTTAATCGTGTTTTTATTTATTTTGTTAAACATTTCCCAATTACATTTTAATTTGGTTCAGGCTGCACTCCCAGAGTGTTGTGGGCCACACTCAGATCATAGGTTGTGTGTTTGACACCTCTGGTACTCACTCCACATAATGCTGATTGGGCCAGATGAGGACACAGTGGCAGAGACCCTAGATCAGATGGTGACCAACATAAGAGACAAGGGGTGGGAAACCAAACCCAAGAAAATCCAGGGTCTAGCCCATTCAGTTAAGTTTTAGGGAACACAATGGGCAAGGAAAACTCAGAGGACTCCAGGCATTGTCCAAAATAGGCTACTGACATTTATTTCCCTAAGATTTAAGAAGTCTAGAGACTTACAGAATTCTGTAGGTCTTGAACAGTCCCCACCTGGATATCCTGATGGTCCCCATTTACTGAGTCACCCACAAGTCATTGTCTTTAAAGTATGACCCAGAAGAGGCTATGGCCCTGGAAGATGTAAACTATTCAGCAGTCTCTCCACTTAAGCCCTCATGACCCTGCAACAGAGGTCTCTGCCCATAAAGACCAGGCTGGGTGGAGCCTTTGGTAGCCAGAATAAGCCAATGTTAGCCATCTAGATCTCCAAGCTCCTCAGAGCAGCCACTCACCACACTACCTTTGAAAAGCTGTTGCTTGTCTCTTACTGGGCCCAAGTTGCTAGGGATAACATAAGAGCATACAATCACTCTTTGTCCAGAGCTGCCTATAACAGGTTGAATGAGGCATATGGTCCCTTTAGCAAGATGACAAGAGCTTCTATTGCTAAACGGAAATGGCACATTAGAAATCATGCTTGCCCAGATTGCTCTGATGTTAGTATTTGGTAACTACATCAGAGGCTGAAGTCTCCAGTCCAGATTCTGGAACTCTGCTTCCTTCTCTGCCCAGTAGGCTCCCACCTGTAAAGACCTGGCTCCTACAAGAATATCATTTTGCCTGGTTACCAACTATGAGAGGCATATGCAAATGGATTTCAACAACCACTATGTGTTAACAGGAGATACCTTTGGGAATAGGGTACTGGCAAGTCCTTCTAGTTGAATGAGCTCTAGGCTACATAGCTGGCATTGTAAGAGAGTCTTGAGGTAGGATCAGAGAAGATCTTTATCCATATGAATTCCTGGACGGTGTACATGAGTCTGGACAATGTGTCTAGGGCCTGGAGAGCACAGAACTCCAAATGAAGGAATTTTGCTGATGCCTCTCACTGCATACAAGTGTTTGTAGACCATGTCAGTACCTAGCAATGACATATGGTAAACAACCAGGCTGGAGCTATTGTAAGAGTAGCAGAAGTTAGAGGGTGGGTCCAGTTTTAATTCAGACATTTGGGCAGTAATACCATTCTGTGCTTGGCAAAGGACCATGATTCCTTCACTATGGACAAGGCAAGCTATTCCTAACCACAGTGGCCTTCCTGTCACCAGCTGGAAGAATGGCATTCTCTCATCTCAGGTTAAGAGCACTGCCCCTACTGATGAATGGCTGCATTATTACGCCTTTGACTTCCCATGTTAGTTATCCAACTTCCCAGAAGACAAACTGATGCTACCCTGGAAAGGGGAGTGGCTCCCTTGTCCAACAGTTTCTTGGATCCAATCTTCAGAAAGACTTAGCTGATAAGAACGGATTGTTTCTGGACATAGTTCTGGTTATTCCTCTCTGGCTCTTCCTTATTCTCTCCCCAGAACAGAGTTGCTTTAGCCTCAAGGTCCTTGCCTAGAGAAGTAGCTCTGGTCCCTCTCAATTTATAGATTTCCTTTCCATTGGGATGGTTTAGAGAACTCTTTCCCAGGAAGGGCTAGGGGACCAAAGAGTGGTATTGTTGGGAGTCATCTTGCTTTCCACTAGCAAGGGGAAAACTTGCTATCTAATTATTGTGGGTATGTATTTACCTGAAAGAAAGGGGATCCTTTAGTTGACCTGGTGATAATTCTGAATCACTGGATGAAGGAGAGGGATAGTTCTTATTTAGCTACTGTGGAAGAATGAAGCAGCCACTCCACAGAGGTCCCAAAGGGGATTACAGATTTTGTATTATTCTTCTGATATAGTTCTCAGGAAAGGGGAGGCTTTGGCAGGTGGGCCAGGGAATACCGAATGAGTGATGGTACAGGAAGAGTCTCAATATCAAATAAGATTCTTGGTGTTATTCTGATTCATCACCACCACTTTGCATTAGGTGATCCACGGTAAGTTTCAAAGATGTGGTGGCATTACCCATCACATGGACTGTAATGTGAGACTTTGAAACTCAGTCTTTCTGAAGGAGGAAGGAATAGCTTAGGAATTCCAGCTTTTGTCTTTCTCCATGTTTGTTTTATTTGTTTCTGTTCTCCTTTTCCCTTTAGTACTGCCCATGCCAAGAGCACTGTCTAGTGAAAGACTCGAGACTTTGTCCTTCTGAAACAGGGAGGAAAAACTTAGGTTAGTCTCCACATTTCTGTTTTGTTTTGTTTTTTCTCCCCTCTTTAGGTACTGCTTATGTTAGGAGGACTGTAAAAGACTTAAAACTTGGTCCTTTCAAAAGGGTAAAGAAAGGTCCAGACTACGTTTTTCTTTTGTTTTTGTGTTTTTCTCTCATTCCCCCTTTTCTCCCTCTTAGTACTACCTAGGCAGGAGGCCTGTCCAGTCATTTAAATGATGTAAAAGACGAACATTTTCCTGATGCAATTTCCCTGAAATAGCTTCCTCCTCTCATGTAACCTGATTGATTGGCCCCAGCTTCCCTGATGCAACGTTCTGGTCTAGAAACATAAAAGGTCTCAGCTATGTGTTATCTGAGCCTCTCATACTTGGTGTGTATAAGACCATGAGAATCGACATACCCTGATGACTTCCTGAGCAGACTGCTTCAAAACAGAAATGAGAGGGTCTGTCCAGAGAAGCTAAGTGCCACTGTATCCTTGTATATTCTTGCTGTGTTAGGGTAAAGTAAACTTCCTCCTTTTTTAAATGTTCAGGGACTTGTGAACGCTTCATTTCGTTCCAATACCAAGCTAAAACATTAAGAGGTACCTGGCTTTAGTTTAGAACTGTGCCTACAACAGTTTCCAAGCAATTTTTAATCTTGGATTCACAGGTCCTTTATTGAATGTAATTTTTATTTCATCATGGTCAGAAAAAGATGCATTTAATATTTCTGCTTTTCTGAATTTGTAAGGTTTTTATACCCTAATACAAGGACAATTTTTGGGAAAGTGCTGTGGTAGATAATTAATAATAACTGAGGAAA